AGAGAGAGAGAGGGGAACAAGAATGTATACGTTCCGCGCGATAATCCGCGAATTGTCTTGCCGGATCGACAGGTGCTCGTAAAATTCCTTCGGGCTTTTAAACGCGCGCAGAGTGTTTCCTTCGACACACCCCGGCTTGATCGCCGCGCGCAGAAATGATATGCCCATTAAAAGAAAATTATCCGAGCACGACATGGGCGGCATTAAAAGTGATATGCGCCTCGCACAGGTGTAATAGCGTTGGGTATGACGTGTTCCCTAACGAGTTTCGCTTCGTATTTATTAGCGATTAACTTAACGACACAGGACGCCGTGCAATAGCGTCGAGAATATGACACAAAGTAGTAATGACGACAGTCCAGGATCTAATCTTTCTAAATGCGATCTCAGCCGCGCAATTAATGCCAACTGGCCGGCTGAGAATCGTTTCCGTTCCGATATGTGCGAAATACTGGGCGTTATGAAAATAGATATTTCAATGACTTTCAAAGAGATCTTCTCCGTTGTAACTAGAACGATTCGTTCCTGAAGCTTATTCAAGTACGGCTATAACGTTCAGAAACGCTACACGAGAGCCAGAGTGGTGTAAGTTACTTAATTATGATTTCGAAAAACGAAAGATTTTTTTTCAATATATTTGCTTCAGTAAATCAATAACTTCAAGGTTTAAAAAAGACTGCGACTTATATCCATTTCTATTAATATAAATTAACTTTAATAACTCCGTTTAATTTACTCTTTTCTAATTCTTAGAGTCGAAAAAAAAAAAAAAAGAAAAGAGTAAGAGTTAAAATTATTCTATTCTAATAGAAACGGACATAATCGCTTCCACTTCTCCATATGTTTATTCTTGTTGTTCAATTCGTTGTTTAAATGTTAAAACGATACACGGGGGTCACTCGAATGGTGTTTCCAAATGTGCCTTATCTTGGCAACACCCTGTATATGCGTGGCGCGCCGCGTGAAACGTTCCGTGGAACCGTATTAGAAAATTAATACCCGGTTGAGAAGTTTCCGCGTGGAAGGAGTGGTCAACGTGGAATGAAAATTTATCGTGGCTCTTGCTCAAGGGGCCAGGCGTTTGCCTTCTCAGTCGCGTAAAGTTGCATAACGCGTTTCGAGAATTCCGACGATGCGGCCGTGCTGCAACTGCATCTACATCGTCGTCGTCGTCGTCGTCATCGTCTTCGTCTTCGACGTCGTCATCGTCGCGAGAGACCCACGTCAGAGTCGCCCAGGGACTTCGCGAAATCACTAGCTTTAAGGGCGCGAACGTGAGATTTATTACACACAACGGATTGGGAGACCTCCCATTACGTGTACTCTTTCGCGAGTTTTAATTAGTCTGAGACAACCGCCGTTCGGTTTGTATTCGCGACTAATCCTATTATCGTAAGAAATACGGAAAGTTATTTGCGTTGTGCAACCGCGCGAACGCACTCCTGGCTAAATATTTTAATTGCACGTCGAGACGGCATCGATTACTGCACCGACGTTTACAATGATTAATCAAATTCTTTTCAATCTGTTCTCTACACACGCGTAATATATAGTATATCTATAGCTATATATATGCTCATACATCAAAGATGGCAAGATAAGATTTAGATGCACGAATGTACGAATATGTAAGGAAAATATTACAGTTTATGTAAAAATTATACACTTAGGTTTTCTTTTATTAACGATGCGTAATTGTTATATAATTATCATATTGCTGCACGATTATCTCTGTAAAGCAATTGTCTGCGGAACTCAAATTGGTATTACGAATCAATGGATTACGCCTTATCTCTTTTCATATCGTTTCTCTTCGCGCCTGAGGGCTTATCACGGGATATGAGATACGTGAGATACGGGAATGTCTTGACGTAGGCGTGGTAGAAGAATTAGACGGTACCGTTCCATTCTTTCGTTTGCTTCGTCGTTATATGTGCGATATAAGCATTAAATTTGTAGTTAATCAAAGAAGTTCAGAGTTGAAACCATACTAGAAATTATACTATGATCCATATTTATATGAATGCTCTACAATCTACATATATATCTCGGTTTTACTTTGTTTTCAGTCAAGTTAAAATTGTATTTTCAAAAGCATATACAGAAAGACAGCGAAAGATTCGTGTAAAAATTTTATAAAAATAAAAATATCCTTCACAATCCATTACTTTAGATGATTTATAATTCGCGATCAAGTTCGGAACAGAATTCTATTTGTAATTTTGCGTGTCGTATATAATAGAAAAGATTTGAAGAAGTAATATATAGTACTGATATATATTTTCTATCGTGTGTATTTCGCTTCTTCAAATATTTTCTGTTACATGACACGAAATATTATAAATAGAATTTGGTCGTGAATAGATCGTCTAAAATGGGCTTAATGTATGTTTTTGTTAAATAAATTAATTCAAATATGTTACGAGATTGTAATATATTTCCCGTTCTTTTCATTCTCATGAAATGTTAAAAAAAATATCTAATATATTGTTCTCTTGCAGAATAATATGTATAATATTTAATCCTGAATTTCTTTAATATTTTGTTATTTTATTTACGCTTAGTTAGAGTTTATTTTTTGTAAATTTTTGATAATTATTACACCACCAATAAAAATATTACCATTGCAGTAATATTCTATCTAAATATAATGTTTCTATTTCTATTTTATTAATAGAAATTTCATTTCAATTTTATAAGCTCTTTATACATTCATATACGATAAATCGATATCGATAAATATCTATTGCCTTTATATTCTTATATAAAGATTAAATATTAATCTGTTCTAGCCATTTCAAGATAATCGATCTACGAGATTTTATATCAATTTACAATTCTTATGTTGCAGATCCATTATCTTCGAATAAAATAAAATATATTTTCTCACTCACCGGCCCGATGCGCAGCAGCGGAGTTTACAAAACTGCATTAATCTGAAACACACAGGTATACAAAAACATTAATTAAAGTAACGTCCAAAATAAACAATGTTAAAAAATATATCAAATTTCTATTG